CATCCCTCACTCCCTCCCTCCCTCACTCACTCACTCACTCACTCCCTCGAATCTCCTTCTCTCTGCTCCTCTTCGCTCGCCTCTGTCTTCCACGTACTCTCCCTATCTTAGTCATCTTTCCCTCCTCGCCTCTCCCTCGCTTCCCTTCCTCAATTTGCGTCAGGTGGTTGCTGGAGTCAACGTTCTTCACGCTTCTCAGTCTGGCCAAGCTGCCTGCGTGGTGAGGAGAGGAGGGGGGGAGGACAGGGGAGGGAGGGCAGGTGGGAGGGCAGGAGGGTTCTGGCAAGTCCTGAGAGGGAAGAAGTGAATGAGAGATGGCTGGAGGATGAGGAGGAGACCAGCAGAATTAGAGAAAAGAATGGCAGGGGAGGAGAGGCAGGAGGGGAAGGAGTAAGAGGAGGAGCTGCAGGATGCAGCAACAGCAGCATTGGGAGAGGGGGAGGACAGCAGGGGAGGAGGAGAAGCACGAGGAGGAGGAGCACGGGGAGGGGAGGTGGAAGGTGATGGTGGTTGACTTGGTTCAGGTTCACTGCAACGCGGCAGTTGACACTTGCAGAACAGCTTCTGTCGTCATGATCTCTCCCTCCAAGTACTTCATCTCCCTCGTACCCTGACTCATCCCCCTCGTTTCCTGCCTTATCTCCCTCGGGCCTGCCTCGGGCGGCCCAGTCCCATCCCCCTCGTTTCCTCTCCTCTCCTTCATTGATCTTGTTGCAGGTGCGAGCGAGTTCGCGTCACGGCAGGCTGAACTTCGAGCCTCCTCCTCCTCTATCCCGCATGCCCCCGCCTCCTTCCCTGCCACCAGCTCTCACTTCCCTGCTTCCTCCCCTTCCTCCTCCCTCCGTCCTTCTCTTCCTATTATTTTGGTTTTCTGAGGATCGTCTGCACGTTCCTCCTCCTGTTCAACACGGAAGTTCGTGAACTCTTATCCACCAGCCGTCGGCTCTGCCTCTTCCCATTCACTTTCACACTTCGCGTTCCATTATCCCCTCCTCATCTCTTGAGGATTATCCGTGAAACGAGCGACTCTCGTCTCCTGCCCCCCGAGGCCTCCACCACGGGCTCTGAGATCTTCGAAAGCAGCGTCCCTCCTCTGCGCCACGTCACCCTCCAGCTGGGAAGACAAGGAAACCTACAGGGCTCGGCTCACCGCCGACCTCTCCCAGCTGTTCTCCTGCTTGACACCCAGCGGAGATCGCGCATCCTTCCTGAGACCGCTGCCCGCCATGTCCCCGACGCCTCCGCAGAGATCCTGAGCGAGGAGGGAGCTTGAGGGGCAGGAGCAGGTCAGAGGCTACAGCACCTGATGACAGAGCTCCCATCCCTGCGCCAGGAGAGCTTGCAGGAGGCTGCTGCTGTGGTTCCATCCTCCAAGCCCGTGAGAGGAGACCTCGACCCCTCCTGAGGAGGAGGGAAGAAGTGACCAGGAGGACGGGAAGGCACAAGGCGTCCGGTTACCGTGCGAGCCATCGAGGTTGAGCGTGAGGAGAGTGCCGTCGAGGGAGTAGGAGAGGTGCTCCATGCTTACCTCCTCCGCTACCGCAGCCCTGATGCTCTTGATGACATCCGTCGGACCGTCCACGTGAACTGAGAGGGGTGAGGAGGGAGGAGAACCAGGGAGAGCAGCAGGAACGAGGGCACGTTGAAGAGTGGGGGACAGGGAGGGGACTGAGAGTTGAGGAGGAGGGAGAGGAATGGTACCTGTGTGTACAAGCCCGGTGGAGATATCGGTGAAGAAGGTGAGGACGCAGGTCTGCAGGAGAGTGAGATGCTGCGAGTGGAGATTCGTATCTACCTGCGTCCAGGCGTCCTGAATGATCCGCTCGAGCTCAGCGAGCTGGAAAAACCTCGCCTGATCGCAGCGCACCGTCATGGAAGCGAGAGGAGGAGGAGGAGCAGAAGCAGCAGCAGGAGAGTCTCTTGCCTCAAGGAGAAGCTCTCCTGATTTGATCGGGTCGCGGGGTACAGCGAGGATGTCGTCTCGCAGGTAGGAGAGGATCAGCTTGAACTTCTTGGGGTCCCTGCGGCGAGTGAGCGAGGGGGAAGGGGGAAGGGGGGAGGGACTCGACCTGTCGATGAAGATGTTTCCTTCCTTATCGCCTGCACCGGGTCAAGTCCAACTAGAGGAGGAGACGAGCTGCTCGTACGTGAGACCGGAAGCCTTCCCATCAGGATTCCAGCAAGGTAAGAGTCCTTCACCTGCTCCAACATCACCCTCCAGCACCTCGACGCCTCCCGTCACCCGCATCAACGTGTCCTTGGACGCCGTGAAAAGTCGACCCCCCACGTTCAACGACACGATCTTTCAGCACACACTTCAGACAAAGTGCAAGCAATGCCTCTTCCTCTCTCCCCTCCCCTCCCCTCCCTCCCTCCCTCCCTCCCTCCCCTCTTCCTTTCTCACCGGGCCCAGGCTATCTACGTCCACATAGTTCCACCCTGATGAGGGTCCGCAAGCCAGTCCTCTCACATTCCCGGTGCCCGCGTCTCTCTCCCTTCCCTCCTTGCCGCTGCTGCCGCTTTCGCTATCGATGCACTGTTTCCCCACTTCAGCAAGCTCTGACTCCCAACCCGAGCCCACTCGAGCTTCAAGGCGCTTGAGCGCTGCTCCCGAAGGCTCCCACCGCTCCACCTGCTCAGTTCTCATCAACCAAGAGCAGCAAGCAAGAGGAAGGGTCTGCCTGCAGCTTGCAAGGGTCCTGCAAGTCACTGATGCGCTCAAGCTCGACCTGAAGGAGTGAGAGGAGCGGTTGGAGAGAGCATGCGGTACCAGAAACTTGATCTTGGCATCAAGGTAGTAGACCCGGCCGACCCTCTCCTTAAGGACTGAACTCAGTGCCTCCTTCAGGGCTGTTAAGTTTCTGGCGCTGGCTCTAACTCGATTTTCCTGGCATGCTGAAACCTGATCTGGTGTAAGCAAAGGGAAGTTTGGTTGATACACAAGACGGAAGTCGGCAGACAAGATGCAGGAATCCAAACATATCAAAACATTTTTTCACTTCCATTTTCATCATATCTATTCTCGTCATCATCTCAACCATCATCTCAATCATCATCACAATCTCAATCACCGTCGTCATCGTCGTCAAAATTCTCCGCCTTCATCAAACTCTTCATGATCATCACACGTGTCGTCATGCTCATCATCACGACATCAACCAAGATCACAATCGTCATCACACCAGCCTCCCGTCACGTAGCATGTCAGGCGTCCCGCCATCGTCTCAGTGAATTTCGTGACCAAGCATCTTTCCACGACGCACGCACCCTCTTCCCCTCTCTTGCCCAAGTCAGGCCGCAAAGTGAGTTGAGGTGACTCCGGAAACAAACCCGGCAAGAGGCCCGGTACGAGCGGGGATGTGGCATTTCCATTGCGTCCTGATAAAGCTTGCCATAGATTTGGTGGGAGGAGGAAGAGGAGGAGGGAGGTAGCAAGGGAACGCAGCGCCTATGGGCTGTCATATCGCTCTGCTGCTCTTTGCTGGCTCTATTGCCTTCGCAACAGGCGGCGAAGAGCGTCTCGTGTTCCTCCCAGAAGCTGCCGGACAGCTGAGCCGCGTCGGACTTTCACCCTCCCTTCGCTCCGTCGACGTTGAGCTCATGGTTGCTCAGCAAGAGGCTCGTCGTCTGAACGATGAAGGAGTAATGATGATGAGCTCTCTACAGTATGACCGAGCAGAACATTTGCTGAGGCGAGCGATTGATATCCATCCTTCGTACCCTCCTGCACTCTGCAACTTCGGAAGGCTCCTGGCGCGAATGGGGAGAGACATGCAGGCAGCAAGTGAGATGATGAGGAAAGCCCATCTCTTGCTTCCTTCCAACGCAGAGATCAGCTCGGCCTATGCTCGTTTGCTGGACGAGGAGCTTTCTGACTTTCGAGCTGCTTCCAAGGTGTACGAGGAAGCGTTGTCAATGCAACCCAGTCACCATCACCTCCTCCATAACTTCGCTGAGATGCTGCGAGGACGTCAGATAGACGACTCTCGAGCACAGGAGCTCTACAAGCAGGTGCTCAAGGCTCGCCCTGACTTCTCCGCCTCCTCCATCGGCCTCTCCCTCCTCCTCCTCCGAAGCGGGAAACTCAATGAGGCGCTTCAGGTGGAAGGAGCTCAAGTTGCCGTATGCTCTGACTGACTGGACCCGCAGGTGCTGCAGGAAGCTCTCGTCCTAGACCCCAAAAGCGTCTCGTTGCTCAACCAGCAAGGCCTCGTCCTCTTCGAGGCCCATCAGATGAACGAGGCTGACCGAACGTTTCGAAGCGTGAGGAGCTGAAGTGGAGGGACGAGGGAGGGCGGTGAGAGCTAAGAGCCCATGGCAGGTGCTGGCAGTCGATCCTTCCAACGTGATCGCCTTGTGCAACCTGGGAACCATCTGCTCATCTGACGGGGAAAGAGGGAGCAGGGAGGGCTTGTCCTTTCTGCAAGTTAGTCTTACTTCCAGTGACCCCATCCTCCTCCTCCTCCTCCTCCTCTCCTCCTCCTCCTCCTCCACCTC